ATGGGTAGGTTTTAATAGAAGAATCTTAAACAATTGTCAATACCATTAGAGGGGTTGGAAGGCCGGCTAACAAGAAAGAAGTTCTTAAGAAGAATTCCTCTAGGTGAAGGAAGGACCTGAAATCAAAAAGGCAAAGATGGGCCCCCCAAGATATTGCGTTGAATACTTGGAGGCCAGACAGTCCTTTCTAGAATGTTCCCTAGTAGTCAGCATGGGCATCATTGGAAGGGAGCTAGGGGTTTGATCTTGTAGCCAGAGTTTTGAGATCTTAGTTCTGAACTCCAGGAATTCCACATGTCAGGTCTGGGCACTCATTCCTATATGCCAAATAAAGAGATGATTATGGCAAAGGGCAGAAGGAGGAGATTTATTACAAGATGTGGGCATCTGTGGAAAGAGGCTGAATAAACAGCCCATGTTCAGTTATGGGCAAGCTACCAACAGGAGCTATAGGTTTAAATAGACAAAGAACCAGGAAGACAGAGAGGGTAGGTGTGGTATTTAAACAATCCCAGACAAAGATGTAACCACTATCTCCATCTTTGTTCTCCAAAATTCCTGAGAAGTTGTAGGAGTTGTGACCAAGTCCACCTTTGAGGAGAGCCAACAAATCAGTGTTGCCTGATGGGTTGTCTGTCCTTTGGGGCAGTTTCCTCCATCCTCCCTTATAAACACCTTATCAGCGATAACTTACCATCCAAGGTGACTGAAAAATAACTGTAGGAGAAGATACTTCAGGTCATTGATGCAAAATGGAAGCTAGGGACCCCAGCTTTCATTCTTTTTTATTTAATTTTTGTGTTGTCAATATAAAGTTGATATGAAGGATTACAGCTGCATAACAGGTAAAGAGTGTATTGGGGGGGGACAATGTCACCCCTTTCCTTGCTCTCTCCTAGTTTTTCCCTCCATCTCCACCCACAAATTGTAGAGTTCATTTTCAAAATAGTATCTAGTGAGTACCACTTCATTCAACTTTAATGTATTCTTGAGTCGAAGTAGTCACTCTTTCAGCAAAAACTGTTTGAAAAGTATCTCTTACAATCTTGCAGTGCATGCTGTAAGTTTGAAGAGCACTCATTGATAAAGATTAGAAGAATATCATTAGTGATGCCACTGTCATAACTGGTGGACAGTGTGACCATTTCCATGTACGTTCTTCACTTTTTGCTTCAAGAACACAACACACCCTGGAACAACACTGAAAATTCTCTTCTCTTCTCACCTGCTCTCTTGCTTTTTTTGACTTTCCTACTCTATTTTGTCTCTGAGTGCCTTCCAGACAGACCTGGAAGTCAGGCTTGTTCTTGGCCAGTTCTCTCCATACACTAATTTTTTGTCTTTCAAAGTTTACCAGTCTTTCAAAGTATCCAGTGAGTCCCTAAGAACCACCTCTCATTTTCACCATGGTTATAATACCCAGGATAATTGGCATGGAAATTTAGCATCCTACCTGCCTTCTTGCTTTTCCACTGATGAATCAGCTCAAAGTGGTCTTTTCACTAATGCCACTAATAATAGCACACATCACAGATAGGGCCAGTGTCCCTGTAGGCTGCAGCCTTCCAGAGTTTCCACAGCCACAGTCTTTGAACGGCTGTCAAATAACTGGGCACAGTTCAGAAGTTCCTATTCTCATTCTCTCTCTCTCTCTCTCTCTCTCTCTCTCTCTCTCTCTCTCTGACCTCTCTGTCTCTGTCTCTATCTCTGTCTCTCTCTCTTCCTCTCTCTCACACACATTCATTTAGTCAATATTGAAACAGAGCAAGCAAAGAATTCAAACACAGGGTTTATAGTCTTCCTCTTCACTTGATAGTATTTGTTAGGTGATTTTTTTTAATGAGGTGTTTAAGAATCTAAATGACTAAAAGATTTTATACAGTCCTATCAAAACATAGATGGCAAACGTTCATAATTTGTGTGAAGATGTTCAAAGTATGATGGCGCTAAAGTAAATATTAGCTGAAAGTGATTGGTTATTTGGGGGTTAGTTAATCTGTTGGTTTGATAAGGAGATAGAAAGACAGTAGGAGGAAAGAAATGAAGGAAGGATTGGGGGAGGGGAGAGAGCATCGAGGAAGCCTGGCTAACAAGGAAGAATGGACTTTATCACTGATATTATCCGTCAATCTCTTATCTCTGTCTTTGCTCTTATCTTTACTTTCCTCAGAACCATCCTGCAAGAGCATCAAATTTCCTTGAATAAATACACTTTACATTTTTTTTATTTAGAAAAGCTTCTAGGGAGAGAGCAAGAGAAGTGACATTGTCCTAAAAGAAAATACTTTTTTACCTGACTTATGTAACTGTAGCCCTTCTGTACATCACCTTTATAAAAACAGTAAGAACAAATCTTAAAAGAAAAGCTTGAAACATACATATGTAAAGAAAATACTCCCTATCTCCAACATAAATTATTTACTATAGTCCCTACTACTAGCATGATACAAATACAAGAAATCACTTAGATAAGTAAAATATGTTCTAAAGAATTATATTCCAGTGATATAATTTTTTAAAATAAGCAGTATCCATGAGCTTGAAGTAGTGTACTGCAAAACAAAACAACGAGACAATGCTGTGCTCAGTTTTTATTGAAAGGTAAAAATATGGATTCTTATAATCCAAGTATTAATTGATGTAGATTTTATGCTAAAATTGGTTTTTATGCACAAAATATAAGGGTAATTGTAAACATCCCAATGTGAAAAGAAAACCTCTATTAACTTCCCTTGCTTACTCATTTATTTAAATTCCAGTTTTTAAATAAAAGATGTCAGCTAATTTCCCTTTTAAATAAGATTACCAGAATGCTAAATCAGGAAAATACCATAAAAGAAAAATAAACCTTAAGGCCAGGCACTGATGGCTCACACCTGTAATCCTAGCTGCGTAGGAGGCCGAGATCTAAAGGATCAGGTTTCTAAGCCAAGGCACAAATGTTGATGGGACTTCATCTACCCACAGGTGTCCACAAGAAAAGCAAAAAGCAGGGTGGGGAGCACAGCTCAAGTGATGGAGTGCAAGCTGAATAAACATGAGGCCCTAAATTCAAACCCCAATGCTGTCAAATTCCAGGCAGGCCTGGGATCATGATCCTACCACTTCCACCTCCCACATAGCCTGGACTACAGACATGTACCACCATATTGGGATTAAGATAAGGTCTTGCTAACTTTCCCCCAACCTTGGGCTTGCCTCAAATCAGAATCCTCTCATTGCTAACTCCTGTACAGATGGACAAGCATTCAACACCATACCTGACTGAGAACTTTTGTTTGATGGTATCAAAGGTTGAACTCAGGACCTATTAAAGGTTGAACTCAGGACCTTGCACTTGCCAAGCAGGTATTCTTCCATAGAGATCATGCTTCATGTTTTTTGTGTTTTCATTATTTTTTTGAATAGGGTCTGTTGTCATACCTTGTATGCCTGGCCTACTCCTACCTTTAACTCACTGAGCTTGAGTGAGAGATGCACACCATCACTCCTGCCATTTTATTGGTTGAGATTGGGTCTCATGAATTTTTTTTTTACCTGGATTGGCCTTAAACCATGATCCTCCTCATCTCGGCCTCTGGAGTAGCCAGGATTGCAGATGTGAGTCATCAGGGCCCAGTTTCTGAAAACATATCAAAGAGAATTCCTGCATTATATCAGGGCATGTCTTTTTTCTTGCGCCTTTGAAGTGTTCGTTACCAATGTACACGTTTGTCAAGTAATATACTTCTATAAGAATGAATGTGTAATGATCTTCATAAAATAATAGTGCTCTTGACAGTATTTTTGAGTGAATCTAAAGAGGTAATTAGAGTGGATGGAATGTGAAACAGTGAATGTCAGTGAGGGATGGTCACTAATTCATCCTGAGACCCATTGCACAAGTCCTTCCTAGACCTCCTCAGAATAATTGCTTCCAGCCCAGCTCATGGCCTTGCTTCTATTATATTCTAAAGCCTTTATACAGCACCATAGAAAAGTGTAATTCATGTCAAACTGTAGCTACATGCCTTTATATGTGTTATGAAGCATAAATGTGGCTTTAGGAAAGACAAATAGTTTAAAAGAGAAAGCAAACTTTTGTTAAAAGTCTAATATGCTTTGGATACCATCTAGCCATTAGCCCAGCCACAGGAAGGCAAGAGGAACACTGGGAACAACACATAGCAGAGATTCTGAGTAGGGGGAAATACTACTAGGCAGGTATGATGGAAGAGCCTTTAGAGAGACTTTGGTCTGAGTGGGACTTTCAGACCCCATGTTGTAGGTCTCAAGAACCAAACCGGATTCTTGAGTGGAAGAGAGAGTAAGGAAATTAGCTCAAGAATATGGGGGAAATATTCTCTCCATGCCAAGAAGACAATGAGCCACTGAGTAAGAAAGAGCAGATTGTTTTGTGAGAAGCATCTCTTTCTCTGAGATTGTAAGTTATTTGTAATAAGAATGGACATTTACACAGTATCTAGTGTGTAGCAAACAGTGTTCTAAGTGCACTGGCAATATTTATCCTCTAAAAATCCTGTGTAATAAGTACCATTATCATTTTCTCCATCATACTAATGAGAAAACTGATTGGCTTCTAAATGTGATGGTCACAGAGAAGATGCCCAGCATGCAGTGTGTGGGTATCAAACAGCCATATGTCAAAGACAAATAGTACCTGCTTACTGATGATAGTATCTGGTATCATCAAGCTGTTTAAGTCCCAGCTTGAGCAGATTACTCTTGGATGTGTCAGAAACCACAAAGTTGAGGCTATGAGCCCATGTCCATGAACATGGTCAACAATCTGATCTCCAATGTTGGATGTATATGTTCTTTTATCCCCCTTGACCCTAAGGAACGTAGGATGGACCTTTTCAAGTCTTCAACAAATATTTGTATTTTAACTAAGAGAAAAACAAACACATGGATTCTATCTGCAGTTGTCTTATTTACAAACATTATAAATTCCTTTCCACACACATGGCATACCATATGTATACTCTTTCTTCCACTAGGGGCTCAAGATCTGGATCGCATCCGGCTCTCCACCTACAGAACAGCATGTAAGCTGAGATTTGTGCAGAAGAAATGCAATTGTAAGTATGCCAGTTGTTGGGGCTAATTACCTTTATGAATTCTATACTTTACATTTGTTAGTACATTTATTAAAACCAAGTTTACTAGCAAGGGATAATAAAAAATATGTTTATCCAACAATCAGAAGGGTAATATGAGACAAGATAGTACAAAGACTGTTGCTAATCCTTAGATCTGAGTAACTCACAAATTCCAACATATAAAAATGGATGAGCCTCTGGATGTAGGTACATAATCCTGTTGGAATGGTATCTAACACAGATAGAGTCTTTCCCTCTTCTCTCTATTAGTATTACAATTGCAATTCCATAAAATTAGTTTCCAAGAATTTTATTAAACATTAGGTTCTCCTTAAAAATGTGCATTTCTTTTACAGGTACAACAAAACAGTTACCAGCTTTGGGAAAACACTTAAGCTTCCTTATGAAATTATAATATTAGCCAAATTAATTAGCATTAACTCCATTTGTTGACCTAGGACAAGAGTGATAGAAAAAACAGAGGAACTTAATTCAGCTTGCTCCCAAAAATGTAAAATACATGTAGCAAGCTAGATCAATAATCATTTAGGAGCTTTATATTTCTTGCTGGGTGTACTGTTAGGATCCATGAATACCTTCCCAGGGGACCACACAGAGGCAGGCAGGCACAGGAGAAAGATTATTATAAGGTTTATTAGAGGAGCCATATCTCCACCTGGAGAGAGAGCAATATGGAGTCTGTCCCCATCCAGGTGGTTAGCTCTAGGGTAGTAGTGAAGTAAGTGAGCAGGTAGGTCTTGGGGTGAACTCTAGGTTAAGGAGGAGCTTGGGCTGGGTAGAGCTAAAGACCAGAGGTGAGGATAATGTTAGCAGGAACACTCCAATCATATGGCCCCATCCATTTTCTATTGGAAAAAAATATTGCATCATAGTTTATGTGTATACTTGTTTCTCTTGTGAAAATGCACTGCTAGTAAAAAATAATAATCATTCTCATTTCCTAGTGTTAGATAAAAAGTGAAAATGAAAACCATAATGTTATACACACACAGTTCTTGAAAACCTGGCATGGAAATTAGACTCATGCTCACCCAGCCAGAGTCTACAGCAGCGTCTACAGTCTAGTTGCTATCCATTCCTAAGGCCTAAGCATAGGATTGATGTTTGGGGTAGAAGAGGATGAAGAAAAACAACGTATATTGAAACTTCAACTATTGTTTTGACCATTCACAGGAGGTTAACACCATCTAAAAAATAAAGCAGAGCCTGGGGCTGGGAAGGTGGCTCAGTGGTAGAGTGATTGTCTTGCATACGTGAAGCCTGGGTTTGATTTCTCAGCACCACATAAGCAGAAAAAGCCAGAAGTGATGCTGTGGCTCAAGTGGTAGAGTGCTCACCTTGAACTGAAGAGCTGAGGGACAGCGCCCAGGCCCAGAGTTCAGGCCCCAGGACGAACAAATAAATGAATAACTAATCGATCAAAGAAAAGCACTACAGTTGAAGGAGCTACAGCTGTAGGCACAGCCGTGGGCCTTAATGAGCCTGATAAGACTCTTTTAACTGCTGGTTTTGGGGGTGGGGGGACAAGAAAAATGTCCTCAAGAAGAAATGCTTCCTCTTCCCCCTCAATCTCATCACTTTTATTAGAACAACAACAACAACAAAGTACTTTATGTTTTTAGCAATGACAAATGATGGATCTCCCACTTTTTTTCCCACTCAAGTGGCCTTCCAAATTTGGAAGCAGAGGGAGAAGGGGTGGATGAGAGTTCTGTTTCACTGAAGCGTTGCATATTCTTGCATATTCTCCTTTCAATAGAGATGGGGATTTCAAAAAAGACTAAAAGAATAATATGGTAAGGGGGAATAAACAAACAAGAAACAGAGAGAGAGGGAGGAGGAAGGAAGGAAGGAAGAAGAGAAGACAAGAGAAAGAGATGAATAGTGATTGTCAACCCTGCAGACATTGCAAAGTACATCCACCATTTTCTCTAACTTGTGCTCTGGCATCCTGTGGACCTCATCTTACTCCTTCGTCTCTTACAAAGGCCCACTGTCATTTTCTCACCTCTTTTTCTTTTTTTTATATTTAATTTTATTTTATTTTATTTGTGAACATACTGTACAGAGGGGTTACAATTACATGGGCAGGATAATGCGTACATTTCTTACCAAGCATTGCAGCCTCCTTCCCAGCCTCCCCCCTCCCCCCCAATCCCAATCCTTCTCCTTCCCCCCCTTCCCCCCCCCCCGCACCGACGTTGTAAAGCTCGTTTTGGACATGACAACTTGTACTTCTCATTGTTGCAACAGGTCCACCTGTATCCTTAAACAACTGGTTTTTCCCCATCTCCTCCACAAGTTATACTGACATCAAATATAGTGAAAGCAGGGGTTATACTGTGGGGGAGGGACATACAAAGCAACAAAGAGATAATCTTATAAATGCGTTAGAAACACATGCATGACAGAAAAAAACATTAAAATACATATCTAAGGGTCATTTTCCTGACATCACATTATCTGACCTTTTCCGCTTGACTCATACATATACTAGATATTGCAAATAAGGGAAACCATGGGACCTATGTTTCTTTGGGCCTGGCTTACTTCACTTAATATAATTTTTTCCAAGTTTTTCCATTTCCTAACAAATGGGGTAATGTCATTCTTTCTGATGGAGGCATAGAATTCCATTGTGTATATATACCACATTTTCTTGATCCATTCCTCTATCTCACCTCTTTTTCTGCTCCCTATTCCCTTCTGGTCCCATTCCTATCCTGCACCCGGCATTATGTCATAATCACACCAAGCTACTTGGAAAACAGTCTATTCCAGGTAAAAAGAGATTTGCCATTTCTGTCCAGTAGCTCCTCCTGATGCTCTTTCATCTCCCTCCTAATGTAATCTGCATATAATAAACTCCTGCTTTATGTTTGGCACTATGTTAGGAGCCAAAGTTAGTGCAGTAGTAAGCTGTATGTTTACACTGGGTAGAGGGACTTTTAAAAACACTGATAAACCTATGTAGAAATTTAGCAATAAGTTTGGGAATACCTGGGAGATAATGTCCTAATTGGAAGAATGGGTAGATGAGAGGACTTCCCTGGAACTTAAATAATTAGCACACTAAGAAAAAAAAAGAGCTTTACGTTCATTACGAAGTACCACCTTATAGACTTCATTTATTTTAGGATGAGGAAAGATAGAATGTTCTAGCAAAACTTGCATGATTTAATTGTTCTTCTAAAATTAAGCCTCTTTTTAAAAATTGTTTCTACCTTGATTGAAGGATGAAATATTACTTGTGTTCTCTGAGTTATCCATACTGACAATAACTATAACTGTTGAGATGTTCACAGTTACTTGTAAAATGGTGACACCATTGATTATGACTCTCATAATCCACAGCGGTCAAAGCAGCAGCCATATTTCATGTGTGTCACGGGTGACACACATTAGCTAATATTGAACCTAAGTCTCTTCCCAGAGGAAGGTAATTTCACTCTGTAATAAGACTTAAGTCATACTGAATTATGGTACCTTACAATGAACTTTTACTCTACAACAAAAGAAGAATCAAATTTTAGGTAATGTTTTTGCAGGTGTGTTTGCAACAGAACAAAATGAGATTGCCTCTTAGGTGAGTACAAAACCCATTAGCACCACCATGATATGAAAGAACAAAGAGGTTTATTGTTTATAGCTAATAAGGAGCAGGTAATTCCCAAAGCAGTGACTCCTGGGGCCAACAAAGCAAGTTGCGTTTCTTTGGGAAACTCACAAACACTCATGCTAAACTGTTTATCACATGGGAAGATGGCCTTGTTCTTGAGCATATTTACTTTCACACCATGCTTCTTTGGACCTCAAGTATTTAATGGTAGAAGGAAGCCAGATGCCAGTGTTTTAAGCCCGTGAGCCTAGGTACCTGGATATGGCAGCACACATATTTCAACATTCCAGAGACTAAGGCAGGAATATTGTGAGGTCTAAACCGGCTTGGATTACACAATATCATGACCATTTACTGTGTAATGAATAATGGCTCATCCAATGTGGTGGTAGGCAGGCCTTTTGTAGTAACCACAGAGCTCCCTTTGTGGTCCTATTTGGATTCTTGCTGTTGTTGAATCCATAACTCAGACGAAGACATAGAAGATACATGGCCTATTCCAAGGTAGACTTTGAGTTTATAGGCTTTCAAGAAAAGGCTATCCTTGTAAGACTAAATTAAATTTGTGATGTATTAGGGTAGATGGGGGAGGGGAAGGTTATTTTAAACTGGATTAAAAACAGCCAGAGTCCCAGCAGCACTTCTCAACATCTTTTGGTCCCCTAATCTGATATAGATCTTATAGGGTCACTTGCGTGGTCCATGGAAGGTACTGGACAACCCTACCTGAAATGCAAAATTTTGCTGCTCAGCACATCTCCTTTCCTATTCATGCATACATCATCAGCCAGAAGAGCATATGCAAACAAGATGTACCTGCCAACCCCCTGCTATAAAACAAGAGCTATAAGAGCCCCATCCTCTTTAGGCAAGACTCCCCACCCCTCCACTTTTCCTCCATAAAGATTTTTTTCCAAATCAGTTCTTCCTCTAATTATTCTTCCTTATTCTCTTTTCTACCCTCTAACCCATGACATTATCAGAACTTGCCCTGATAGAATATGGGAATGAAGGCCTCTCAAGATTAGGGGACACCAAGCTAGCTATGTTATTTTCTAGAAGGAATGAGAGAGCATGGAGAATACAGTATCTCTAATCCTCCTTTCTAGTGAAATCCTTCTCTTTAGTTTCAAGATTATTGTTAAATTCCCACAAAAATAAGCACCCTCAACTCTCTAGACAGGCATGTGTGAAATGACAGCTCAGACTGTATTTTAAACAAGTACCTGCTCCTCACAGGAACGTGATTTCTATGGTCATCACTGACAAGCTTAATGATCCAGCTACCCTGCAATGTCAGCAATTTTTTATTCCAGAAATTACTTTGAAGTCAAAGAAA